GGGGCGGGAGGGGGGTTAATCTCATGCCAGAGGGGTGAGTCAGGGAGGCCCCAGCGAGACAGATCTGGTTAGCTCTGCTTGGCTCTGCTGGCTCGTCATTTATCACGGGGCTGACGCAGCTGTCCCCTTGGCACGGCGCGCTGGGAGCAGGCCCACGCGGGGTGACAGGTCGGGTGGTGGGGATGCGTTGGCTGTGTGGGGTGATGGCTGTCACCCCATCCCTGCCCAGCCCCGGCAGCCCTCTCCCTGCTCCTTCCTGGAAATGCTGTTTGCACAGAAGCTGTGAGACCTGGGGAGCCACGAGCCACCCCCACACCTTGCCTTCCAGCTCCAGCATGGCCATGTCCTCGCTGGAAGCATCCCCAGGGATGGCAGCCATGGGAGCTTGGAGTGGGGTCCCACCAAGGTGGTCTCCCAGCCTGGGCGCTGAGCAGCTGAGCAGACCTTGCATCTCCCGCCGACATCTGCTTTTGCTTGGGAATGAATATCCCAAAGTCTGTGGCATGTCTAACAAAGCTGAGATTTAAGTCTCAGATATGCAAGTGGGGTGTAGACCCAGGGGGGATCAGTGTGTCTGTGGTCTCGCTGGGATGCAACCCTTCCCTTCTCCCCAAGGTAATCAACCAACCCTCAGAAATAAAAACGTTCTTCCCAGAGAAACTGCAGGGAGAGCTTTTCACCCCTGGGATTGATGCGATATCCAGAGAATGCAGCAGCAGCCCCAGCTGCGAGCAGGGATGCTGTAGGGATACAGGTTGGTGCCATTGCACAGGAGGAGGAATTTCCACATAACCAGAGTGGAGGAGATAAGAGATTCATCTAGAGAAACTGAGGGGTCTGAGCAGATGGGAGAGCTGAGGAATCCAGGTGGAACTGGAAAACCTTCCCAGTAACCCCAGTGGAAGGCAAGCTGTGTTTTCCTCGCCTTTATGGGTCCTTGTTCCAGTGAATTTCATTAGGATGGCAGGAGGTCATCCATGGAGTTGGGAGACCCTAAATGTAGGATGTGCTTCTGCACCCCTTCTTTCCCAACTCGGAAAACCTCCCTTTAGGTCAGCATCTCCCCTGCCTAGGGAGGACAGCCTCCCAGCAGTAACCGAACCCCGGCTCCACGCTGGCATGGAGACCCAACAACAAACAGCCCGGCCGGGCACCTGCCCAGGCGCCTTTCTGAGGAAACTCGTCTGGGAAGATGTTCTGGGAATGTCCCTTCCAGACACCAGCCTCCCCACCTCCCCCTGGCTCTGATTTTTTTTTTTTCCCCCCTGAATCCTTGGTACAGAATATTCAGAACCAGGAAAACCAGAAAGAAAACTTGGACCAGAGGTTCCCCAGCCTGTTCAAGAAGGGACGAAGGAAAACAGTTGTCAGGAATCTGGGCAAAATGATCTATTACTCCAAGGTCAAGTTTAAGTTCCAGCACTGCCAGGTAAGCTGCAGCAGGATGGGGAAATAAAGTGTAATTCTGGGAAATGTGAGTCACAGAGACTTCTTCAGGCTACTGCGTGGCCCAGGGACTTCTGCTGCCGTGCGGTGCCTGGGTACCAGCTGGCACCCCTGGCTCCCATCCCAGTGGGACCTGGGATGCTGCTGCGCCCCGCTGCCGAGCTGGCAGACATGCAGTGGTGGCCCTTGGATAAGGGACCGCTGGCTTTTCCATGCACAGATCAGTCTGAGATGCAGAGGGAAGCTGGGAGGAGGAAGGTGTCCTGAGATAAACCCCAAAACGTGTCTTTTCTGCAGGAGGTGAATGACTGCTTCCTGGAGCTGTTCCAGTCCTACCTGTACTTCCAGTCTGTGGGCTCCAACGGACTCACCTACCAGGTGGGGCATCGCCGGGGCAAGCACTGGGGAGTTGGGCGGGATGGCCAAGCTGGGGGCACCGGGTAGATGGGACGGGACAGGGAAGGGGGCTCAGCCTTGGTGCCAGTGGTGGGCTTGGCCCCAGCTTCTGGACCAAGGGGGAGTTCTTCATCTGCAGGGCAGAGAAAGAGGGATGTGGGAGGGTGGAAAGGAGAGACTGAGGGTTATCATGGAGCTATCATGGCAAACCACCCATCAATCGTTTAACCTGATGATGCTGGTGAATTACAGACAATAGGCTGCTTTGCACATGCAGCCAAAAAATCCCAACAGAACAAATGGGAAGCCCTGAATGTGCTCTCCCTCTGCACGAATGAGCAACTAAAACTGTTTTGTAGATGGTTGTAAAATTCGTTCCTTTTAGAAATGATTTATTGTCTTCTAGGTGACTTGAGGTTAGAGCAATATGCCAATACCATCTCTCGAGTCATAGAATCACAGAATCACAGAATCGTTAAGGTTGGAATAGATCTCAAGGATCATCAAGTCCAACCGTCAACCCACACCACTGAACTCACTAAACCATGTCCCTAAGCACCACATCGACACGTTTCTTGAAGTTTCTTGAGTCATCCAGCAAGCCAACCTTCAACTGAGAAGACATGTCAAATACAAACGATATTGCAAAATCTCCCATCTACTTTATAAACAACTCATTAATTTATTAATTCCAGAGGGATTAAAAAGGAACTAATGTGCTGGCCCTGAGACATTACAGCAATTAGCATTTTTACAGTCCTTGATTAGAAAGCCCAAGACAGGGAGCACAAACCTGTCACCTCTTCCTGTGCCTCTTTATAGTGGGACTCTGAAGAACGGGAGTATAGAAATGGGACAGCTCAATTTTGCTTTATGGTCATTTCCATCTTCTGCCTTTCTTGTGCCCCCCAAGATAACGATGTGTTCTTCTTCTGCAGGGACTGCTGCCTTTAAAAGAGCTGAGCGTGTGTGAAGTCGAGAAGGGGAAGAGCACGGGGCAGGAGGATCACGCGTTCCGCATTGCAGGTTGGTGCCTCTTGGTTTGCTTTGAACGGAGAACAGAGGGGGTTTGAATCACGACTGTCTCTGCTCTTTGTCCTGCTCCGACCTGGTCCCAGAAAAAAATTCACATTGTGCAAAAAGGCTGCAGAGAGCTGAAGCTCTTCCTCCAGCATTTGCATCCTTCCTTCCGAGGCTTCCCTGCTCCTAAACACCTGGACGTGATGCCCAGGGCTGCAGGCAGGGAAGGGAGTGCCGAGGAAGCTTTTCAAACACAAGATTTTTCAACTTTTCTCTGAGTGATCTTGCTTTATACAAGTTTCCCTGTCTGCAGCTTGGCTGGAGGCTTCTTTGGGCTTAGTCATTGCTGGGTTACAGCAGTCCCAAGCCCCCAGGAGTAGCAGTTAAATCACGAGGTGCGAAAAATAACCCAGCAGTGAGTAAATAACCCAGGAATGATACAGAGCCAAGAAAGCTCGTTTGTGTCCTAGACCCACTGTCTGTGTCCTCTGTTAGAGAGAAAGTTATACAACGGCCACTCAAACAAAAAAAAAATTACATCAATTATAAAAAGGAGCTGGTCCAAACGACCCATGAATTGTAAGGAGGGCTGGGCTGTGGTCTGGTTCCTAGGCAGGGCTCCCAGCCCTTTGGGGAGTCTGTAAAACTTCTCCCAGGCGTCACCCGTCAGGGGCATCTGCACCGGGGTGGGGGGACTTGTTCTGCTTGTGTGAGAACACCGGGAGTGTGGCTGGGTGGAAAAGTGCCTCCAGCCTTGTTGGGTTTTAAGAAAAAAACCAAAGCCTCCTGTATAGATCAGGAGGCAATGGCACGGAGAAACCAGAGAGGGAGTGACATTTAGGATTGCTGGGAGATGAATGGAGCAGTTTTATTTTTCTGCTAGAAGGGGAGAAACCAAGGCACAGAGGGGATAAAAGCCTTGTCCTTGTCCCCGCGAAGGGTCAGGGTGGAAGTCTTTTGTCCGAACACTCCGAGACACGAAAGACACGCATCCAATCTCTTGCGAAACCCCATGGCGGCAGGACTTCCCCATGACCTGCACTTTTAGGGTGGCAGAAGATGCCGGCACCATCACTGGAAGTGTGGAGGTGGAGGGTGAGAATGATGCCCGGCAGCATCCCTCGGTGCGCTGGCACGGAGAAGGGGACAGCGGCTGGCCATCACGGTGGCTTTGGGGACCAGGTCTCACACAGCCCCGGATGCTGCTCCTCTGCCTCGCCTGCAAACGTTGCAGCTTTTTGGCATCTGCAGACAGAGATTTGGGTGGGAATAAATTGCTGTCGCTCTGGGAACGGAGCTTTCTTGCTTCCAGTGTTCCTCTGGAAGCGTCGGTAAGGAAAGAGGAAGGACGGGGCAGAAGGAAAGACGGCACAAGTTGCTCAGCATGGCTGTGTCACCACCCGGCCGCAAACGTGCCCTCGGGGCTGGGGGGAATGGCAGCGGCTGAATTAGCAGCAGCTCCCAGGCTCGGCTTCACCCCGCCGGCTCCTCGTGTGAGCTTCGGGCACGTCTCAGGCTCCAGGCTCAGGCTGGAGCTTCTCGTCTCGTTTTCTCTTCCTTTGGGGCTCTGTTTAGACGCGGCAGCCTGAACAGCCCTCGGGATGCGGCTGGTCTGAGAGGTGGCAGGGCGAGGGGAAAGTCACCCGGGGCGTCCCTGCCTCAGTTTCTCCACCTCTGCTTTGTCTGTGTTAGTGCGTTTCCTGACAGACGGAGGTGTTTCAAAGTCTTAATTGGCTGCTGTACGTAAATAATGCAGGAATTATGGGATGAAAGGCTCCACAGAAGGGCAAAGTATCACGCTTACCCAGGGCACTTGCTTATCTGCATACTTCCAAGTCCCGCCAAGCCAGACCTTGGTGAGCATGCACCACGTATGGTTTAATATGAGATCACTGGTAAATTATTAATCATAACAAACGTCCTGCAGCCTGCCAGAAATTATTATTAACGTCACTAGGGTATGTCTGTAGTGAGTAGCAGAGGGTGTGGGAGACTTTTTTGCTCGTGCCACTGAGCGAATGATAGCTGGAAACATTAAAATCAAGATATAGGGCTGGTCCTACCTTCAAGAGTATGTCCGAGAGCAGCTTCAGCTTGTCAGGCACAGACGATATTTGGTGAAACAATAAATAAACAGTGTCAGAAAGCTGCCAGTGTTCTACACATGGAGTGCCAAAGTGAAACTAGGAAATAGCTGAAAATTCTGTGTTGAGCGAGGCTGTCTGCAGCAGCACTGTGGGACGGTCTCTGCCCACAGAGATGCTTTTCACAAACTGTTGGGGGCTTCTAAAGCAGAAATCTGTCTGTTGAGTTCAAGCTTGACTCTTGTAGTGTCTTTGATTTTTGTTCTTGGGCTGGTTTTGGGCTGACGAGTGACGGGTGGTCGGAGCAGGACGTGGCTGCAGGACAGGCGGTGGGAAGGTGCAGGAGCATCCCTGCCGAGGAGCTCCCCACAGCCGGGTGGGATGTGCTGGAGGAAGGGCTGGGGCGTGATGGCAGCAGAGTGATACAATCACAGGCAGCCCACGGTGTGATGTGCCGCGCACAACAGCTCCGGCCGGCTCATTACTTATTGATCCTGCAGTTGGTGCCATTATCTGCTCAGCCCATCTCGTGTCTCTCATATTTTTTTTTCCTTATCGTGTTCTGCCCCACTGAGTCAGAGCTCAAGCAGTGGCTTTATCAACTGGAGAAACAGATCCAGCTAAACGGAGGGAGCCTGGGCTTGTCCTTCCTCTCGCAGGTGAGTGTCTCAGGACGGTGAGGTGTGTGGCATTTCCCATGCTGCGGGCTCAGAGCTGAACTGGGGAAGCTGGGCTGGCTGGGTGGATGCTCCCCTGCTCCTGCTGCCTTCAGTGGATGGGATAATCTCCTCTCAGACAGTTTTGCTTCCACGCCTTCTTCTTCCAACATCCCCAGTGCCCCACGGGGCTCCGGGCACCTCCTCTGGGCTGGAGAGCTTGGGAAAGGAGAGAGCGGCTCTGGGTCCACTTCCAACGCCCCTTGCTGTGCTGGCTGCTTTCTCCAAATGTTGGAAGGAGGTGTGGGCTTTGCTCCTGACCTAATCCCCCTTTTCCAGGCCAGCTGCTTGAGTGCTTCCCTGCATCCATCCCCGCTGGCATGGCATGCAGGGGGTTTGGGGCCACTTGTACCATTTCCAGCAGCTGCCAGGGCTGTGCACGATCTGTCATCCAGCCCTTCGGACGCATGGTCAGGGACCCCTCTGTGCCAGCATCACGTACCAGCCTTGCCAGAGCTGGGCCAGGGCTTGTGTGTGCCCCTGGCTACTTGCTGCCTGTTTGCCAGCACCTCGAGCCATCCCTGGGCAATGCGCCTCGCAGCTCTCACTTGCTTTAATTATTCCACCACCCCTAAAATAACCGTGGACAGACGTGCTAATTATCCACAGCTGACAGACGTGTTCTCGCTTGGGAACTCCTCTGCCTGCGGAGGAACCGTGTATTTGTGTTCAGATGTCCTGAGGGGTTTGGGTCTGTGCAGCCAGCACAGGAGCAAATGTGGGGTTTTGGTCTGAATGCAACCCCAAGGGTGCTCTGCACCACTGAGACCCGACAGCAGCTCGCTGCACATGTGCCGCGGGTGTGTGCATGCACAGCTGCTCCTTTGGGAGCTTGTCTTTTGCACTGCAGGGGAAGGGGGCAAAAAGAAAGGCTTTGCGAGAGGGTCTGGCAACGTGTGGGTGCTGAAAGGGGGACCAGCGACCCCGAGGTGCCAGCACCAGCACCTCTGCAGGGTCAGAGGTTTGGGTCTGCTTCAGAGAAATCCTCTTGCTGTTGGCTGCTTGTGCAATTATCCAGAGTTTACAAAACATTTGAAGGAGGAAGCCTAGAAAACAGGACCAGATTCAGGAGACCTGTCCTCTCTTCGGGGTGTTTTACTCCCCTCCCTGTCTCCATCTCCCCAGTTGTAAAACAGAGGAATTCCCCTTTGAAAGGGAACCTGCAGATGATGCTGGGTACAAAGTGTGATTATTCAGTCCCAGCTGGAAAACTGTCTCCTGCCCAGATTTATTTACCCTTTCCTGCTTCTGCCACACTTGAAAAATGTCCTGAGATGGGCCATGCGCTAGCTGAGCTCTTGGGGGAGGACATGTCTACCCTGCTTCTCAGTCCTGCTCCTGTCCCTAGAGCGACTGGCAGCAGAGCTCGGTGGGGAAGGAGGAGCTGCGGTGGTCCGTGCAGAACATGCCTGTCCAGGAGTGGCGAGGAACCCAGCGGGAATCCCTCGGCGATGTCCTCTGCGTTTCCAAAGTGAAGCTGCAGCATCTGCCTTTCCAGGTAGGACACATCTCCTGGGAGCAACCTCCTGTTGGAAAAGGCAGCAGATGGAGTCACTAGCACCAACTCCTGCCTCCCTGCTGTCCAGGGGGGCCCTGAAGGGTCCTTTTCCCCACTAGCTGGTAAATGGAAAAAGATGTGTTACTGGCCCCATGGCCCAGCAGTGATGCTCGGGGACAGCACGTGCATCTTTGCAGGATGGGGCTGGCAGCAGGAGCTGGCAGGAATCTCTGGTTGTGGGGAAGCAGCTGGGCTGTTTGCAGAGCCTCAGGCTGCTGTCAGAGAGACAAAGCAAAGGGCTCTGCAGATCCTGGCTCTTCACAGGGAACCCTCTTCCTCTTTCCTTTCCAAGGAGCAGCACGACCGGCTGTTGGTGCTTTCCCCCTCCACGCTGGTGATCGTCTCCGAAGAGCGCAACAGCCTCTGTTTTAAGGTCAGTGCATTTTGGAACAACCTTCCTGCTCTCTCTCACCCATCCGCAGCGGCTATTTCAGCACTTTTTTGGCTTGTTGCTCCCCTCCACCTGGGTTCCCTTGCTCTCCTCGCCCTGGCAAGGGCTTTCCCTCCACGCTGCTCCCTTGCCAGCTGGCAGGTGAGCCGGCGGAGGGATGTTGCAAGCCATCTTCCCATGAGAAACACCTTTCCCTCCTACAAAAGCCCTGGAGGGAAAGCAGCTAACTGCCAAGGAATCTGGGAGAAGGGAGGCTGGCATGTTTCGGTGCAGTTACGCTGGCAGGGAGCCTGGTTCTCTGGCTTGAGACAGGAGCTGGAACAGCCCCAGAGAGTGTCCCCGTGGGGGCTTGGCTTCCCCAGCCCCGCTCTGTGCGACCACTTGAAAGCAGGTGGCACCCGGGCGGCACGTCTGATGCTGGCAGGGACGGGCAAAGGCAGCTGGCTGGCGGGCAGAGAGGAGATGCTGCTGCTGGTGCGCGGCGGTTCCTGCTCCTTCCCTCCGTGGAGCGATGTCTGGGCATGCCAGTGGAAGGGCCAACAGGGACAGCGAGGTCTGAGTGCCCCAGGGGGTGTGGGAAGAGCTTCTCTAGTCTGCCGGTGTGTCTTTGTAGGAGCAATGCTGGGATGGGCAGTGGCACTTGTGGTCCTGGTTGCTGCGTGGGCATTGCTTGTGGTCTGAACGGTCCTTAGACCCGATGGCCAGCACCCATCCTGGGTATCGTTGCAATGGCAGTTAAACAGCCCCATGCTTTCTCGCCCTGTTTTCCCGTGCTGGAACAAATGTGCCCAAAAGGCATGTGTAGGGACAGGATGAGGGGTAATGGATTTAAACTGGAAGAGGGGAGATTGAGATGAGATATTGGGAAGAAATGTTTTCCTGTGCGGGGGGTGAGGCAGTGGCCCAGGGTGCCCAGAGAAGCTGTGGATGCCCCATCCCTGGAGGGGTTCAAGGCCAGGCTGGATGAGGCTTTGGGCAACCTGGGCTGGTGGGAGGTGTCCCTGCCCATGGAAGGGGGTGGCACTGGATGGGCTTTAAGGTCCCTTCCCACCCAAACCATCCTGTGCTGGGCTGTCTCTGAGCAGCATCCCTGGCACACATGTAACTGAGCTGAGCTGCTCCTTCTTAGTCATGGAGATAAGGAAACCCTGCAGAGATCGAGGGCTTGGGAAATTCCCTGTGAACTCACCAGGGTCCTTCTTCACATGATTTCACCATGTCCATCTCAGGCTCCTTTCAGTCCAAGGGCTACCCCTGGGAAAACGTGCATGGAGCATCTCGCTGGGCAGAGGAGATAGCCGTGCCTGCAAGGGGAAGGGGTGTGATGAGGGACATGTGCCAGTCAGAGCTCTCCTCTGGCCTCAGAAGGTGTTTTCCAGCAGCTGGTGGCTTATGTGACACACCTCAGCCGGGGCTTGTTTTCGGGAACATGTTGTTTGCAGCTCCTGGGAACGGGGTACCGCGGAAGGGGGACTTTGGGCTGGGCTCTGGGATTAACTCAGCTCTTTTGAAACCTCCCAGCAGATTTGTCCACCCCGTCCGCGCAATGTTCCCTTCCCACGGTGCCTGAGCGTTGGTCCCCGGGCGTCTCGCGCGCCGGGGTGATGGCAGGGCTCCGCGCAGGAGGTGATTCACCACCCGGTGACACCGCAGCAGGAACCTGCTTTTCCACAGGCATGTCGGGGCACAGGAGCCTTCTCCCAGGGCTTCTGCAAATTAACTTCCCTTCCCCGCGAGCAGAAGATGCTGAGCCCTACAATTTGTGTGTGAAGGAATAGCCCGGCCCTTTTTGTTCTTTGGTTTCGTACAAACCGCAGGAGCTGCCGCTGCCAAGTTTGCGTGTGGGACGGGGAAGGGGAAGGCAGGGGCTGAGCCTGCCGGGACGCGGCTCTGGCTCACGGCTGGTGGGAAAAGCCCCTGGGCGAGTGGTACACCAGCAAGAGGGGGGCTGCTGGGGGTGGGCAGGTTCACACCATGCCCAGGGCTCTCTGCAGCCGACGTGCGTGTTATCTGTGGGATGCTGCTACGCTTCCCCAGGCAGGACTCCAGCCCCGGGGTGTTTCAGCCTCGTCCTGTGGGCTGGGGGCTGTTGTCTTGGGGAGGATAGCGGGTGCTGGGGGAAGCCCTGCACATCTTTGGAGGCAGGACGGCTTTCCCGAATGTGCCGGATAGCTGAGGAGCAGCAGGAACTGGCAGCACCGGCCCCTCCACATGCATCCCTGCAGCTGAAGCATCCAAGCCCATTTCTGACAGCAGCAGGGGAAACTGAGTCACAGAGCGCTGCAGGAGCCTTCCCTCCCAGGGCCATGCTGCTCAGCCCATAAATTGCTTTTGGTGCAGGAGAAATGCCACCAAAGCCTGTGTGTGCCCCCAGGCTATGGCAGTGAGGACGCGCGGCTGAGCTCCTCTTGCGGCACAGCCGTCCTGTCGGCCGCGTTCCCTGGAGCCCGTGCAGCCGGGACAGCTTTGCAGGGAGGACGTGAGGAGGAGTTTCTGCCAGATGCCTTATTTTGCAGCCCATAAATTTAGGCAGATGAATCCGGACCGATTGCACCTTCTGCGAGGACCTTGGGCAGATGGCAGGAGTGGCGTTCACAACTGTGCCGATAGCACGGGGGCTCACGTTTCCCCAGCTGGCATTTACGGGGCTCAGCCTGGCTTTGTGAGGCTTTGCGGGGTCTGGATGGTGGAGATTCCTGTTTGCAGGGCTGGGAATCCCAATCCAGCAACTAAAACCTCATTCAGGACCATGTTTGCAAAGTTTTCTGGAGAAGTCAGGCATTAAACTACGGGAAACTCGTAAACAGGACTAGAAAGGAAGGAGTTTTTCCAAGCTCAGATCTCAGGAGGGATTTTGTAAGAACAAAACTTACAGCTTCACAGCTGCGCCGTCCTAAACCTGCTTCTCTCTCCGACAGGGCGAGCTGCCACTCAACGCCATCCAAGTGCTTTTTGAAGAGAACGAGAAAACCTCCTTTTTAATAGAAGGTGCGTGGCCGGCGTGCCGAGGGGTGTGCTGGCACCAGCCACGGAGGTCTCTGGGGCCGGGTTGGTTTTGCTGAGCTGCTGTGGCCATGGTTGTGCTCACTCATGTCGGCACCCAAGCTCTGTAAAATGAACTGCTGGGAGATCTTGGATCATCTGTGCCCTGGCTGCTGGCAGGGAGAGGCTGTGAGCCGACGGCAGCGCTTGCACCCGGGGATGCGCTTGTCGCCGCGCGGCTGCAGCCGTTCCCCCACTGTTAGATCTGCCCCCGTCCTGCATCCAGCTGGGTGCAAGGGCTCAGCACCGAAGGCAGAACATTCCCCTTGTCCCTGCACCGGTGACAGGGTCTCCAGACCCCCGGGAAAATGCAGGGAGGGATGGAGCAAGGGGATTCCCACGGGATGCTGAAGGAAGCAACACGCCTGTCAATCAAAGCCGGTATCAGCAGCGGGGGATGTGTTTACAGGGCGACTGATCAATTCGATCCGGGTGATCTGCCGCAGCTACGATGATTACCAGGAGTTAAAACAGCCCAGTTTCGAAACGCCGACTCCTCCCTCTCCGGATCAGAGAGTTTCTCAGGATCAAAGCTGCCTCACCCCGGTCAGGTAGGAGCTGTTGTGGGTTTGGGTGATAATCAACAGGTGTCTCCCAGGGCTCCTATCTCTGGTCACATGTGAGTGCTCTTGTGACACTGCAGATGTTGCTTCAAGTCCCCTGCTCGAAGGCTGCCGTGAAGTTGCTGATCCCTGCAAATTATTTCGAAGAAGAATTTTGAAAATTATAAAATTTTGAAATGTTATATATTACATGCTATAGGCATCTATTATATTAAATTCCTCCAAAAGCAGACCCCTGGCCATAGACTGTGACAGTGTTGTGCAGGGAGGCACTGGCACAAGGACATCAACAGGGGCTTGCAAGGTGGGGGACACCCACCCTGCCAGCACTGCAGCTGGGATGGGGTCAGAGTGCCAGAGCATCCTTCTCCCCACTGAGAGCCTTCATCATTCGCCCCTGTCCCCCCTGCAAACTGGTCCCACAGGGCAGCAGACCCTGACACACCGGGCACAGCTGCCTGGGCAGCTGGTCCAGGGATGCTCGGGCAGGAGATGGGGCTGGGGAGGGATGTGAGAGGGCTGCTCCTAGGTGCTGTTCTTCTCCCCCGTCTAGTTTGCCGGCAGCGGAAGAGGGTCACTGACTTCGGACGGCCGGACGAACTCCTGGGTGTCGGGAGGGAGAGTGGCCACCTTAACGCACCTCTCGCAGAACAGCGGCTCTCTCCCCGACGGACAGTCCTTCGTGCTGCTGCCTGAGAGCCGCGTGCTCGACGATCCCCACTCCCCGGGCTACTCCCAGCCTCTGCATGTAAGTGAACCTTGCAAAAACCCAGGACACACGTGGGGACAGTCAGTGCCTTTGAGCAGAGTGGTCTGTCCCGCTGCTCGGATGGGGTGGGGTGGTCAGTGTTTGCTCTGTGGGGCAACAAATCCATCCCTGGAGCCTGTATTTGTCCTGGCTCAGCTTTGTCATTGCTGATAAGGGAAAAATCAGCCCAAGAGCCCCATCCCAATGCTCCGCTCTGCATAAGGATTGTTGGTACTGATTGCAAAAGGGACTGTTCAGAGGTTGGGAAATCCCAAAGGAAAAGCCAGGGGGTGGGCGGAGGTGATGTGCAGGGGGTGAGTACATGGAGGTGATGTGCAGGGGGATGAGTGCGTGGAGG